TGATACCAATTGTTAGACCCTAGAGGGGGGGTGATTAGGGTCTTATGCTAATCTAATCCGATTTTATGTCAATTAAAATTAATTAACAAGTTATCCTAGCAAATATAAAATACAATAAGATATATGACCTAGGATAAGCAATATGAACAATGAGATATATCCTATATGATAAAAATATATACAGGGATATATAAACTAACACAAGGGTGAAATAAACATAAACAAGATAATAGATGAAATAAATGAGCAATGCACAATTGGTGATATAAGATAAATACAAAAGCAAACGCGCCAATGATAAACTCAAACACACTCAAATGATCACGGAGTTCGGACCTTCCATCCTACGTCTCCGCTCCCCACTCCCGGGGAGAAATCCACTATCACAACCAAGTTTTCTACGCTCACCCGAATAACGTTTATACCTCACAATGTCGGTTTTCAACGTTCACCGATCAATGTTCATAATCACTTCACAATGTCGGTTTTCAACGCTCACCGATCAACGTTCACTCCTCACACTCGGTTTTCTACTTCACCGAAAACTTCACAACACACTCGGTTTTCTAGCTCACCGAAAACCTTACAATACTTACAATGTAATAACAAATATGTTCTCCTCAATAGATGAGAACTCAATGTAGCTCACTCTCAATTGTTACAACTCCCTATAACCTAATTATACAATGTATGTAAATACAATAAGCTCAATGGTTGTGTGTGTAAGCAATGAGAAAATCAAATCAAATCTAAACTCAATACAAATACTAGCTTATGGAAATGTAAATCAAACGTATAAATAGCTAGATATGAGTTTAGAGATTCTTCTCTGAATAACAAAATGGAGAGATGGAGATTGAAGCCCAAACAATAAGATGATCTCCTCCACTTGAGAAAACTTCTTCGCAAACAAAATAGACACTAAACACACGTAAACCCTTGTTTAAAATTTATTTAAAATACTCTCATTAGTTAGTTCAGAACTGAGATCAATGGGGGTATTTATAGCCTCCCAAAGCCTCAGCCAAAAACCCCAAACTGGGGGTATTTATAGCCTCCCAAAGCCTCAGCCAAAAACCCCAAACAAAAGACCAAAAAGCCCCAAACAACGGCTGCAGGAAAATAGCCGTTGGCCAAAAACCCCAAACAAAAGACCAAAAAGCCCCAAACAACGGCTGCAGGAAAATAGCCGTTGGGAATGAAAAGATAGTACAACGGTCAATCGTGGGAAACTCGCGGTCGACCGCGAGGCAAAATCAAAAGTGAGAAAATATCCAGAGACAGCTACGGTCGATCGTGGCGGTCGACCGTGGAAACTTACAGGCTGACGGTCGACCGTCACGGTCGATCGTGAATG